TGATAGTGTTACTGCCCATATTATAATATCATGTTTATCTGATAGATTTTGTCGGATAGTATTCTGAATGACAACTTCCCTAAGTAAGCTTAGTTGGAAGTTGTTCAATGATTATGGCGTTACGACCTCTCTAAATAAATTATACTTAACTGCATTTTCTAAATTATGCCATATGTCGTAATTTTGGTACTCCATCAATTTCAGGGCAGTATGAGTATATTTTTGAGAGGCCCCGAAGAAACTCGGCAAATCCACTGATACAAAAGTCTCTACAAAGAAGACGCTTCTTTATCATAACGATAACTAAATTGTAACTTTTCCACTTCATTCGGTGTGCTCACGAAACTCTTTAACAATTTATTTATTTTTATTTCACCAATTTTTGTCTTGTTCCATAATTATTTCTTAATGTTTTCTTTTTTAAGTGCGCGCGGCACGGATTGGTTTGTTTATTGTGTAACTAGAAGAAACAAGAAGTTCTTTGATCCAAGCTGTGCAAGCGAAGACGTTAAAAATTTGACCAAAATTTTCGATTGCATGATAATTGTCTTCCATAATGTCCCCGCATATTGTCAATTGATGTGTCCAATAGCAAATCCATTTTGGTAAATAAAAGTAAAATTTTAATACCGAATTTTATTTTTAAATTTTAAGAAAGTTTATAGTACTTACACTTAGTAAGTAAGTCGGTAAAAATATTAAACATAAGTTGGTAGATATCATAGGTAGTAGATACTACATATTTAAATAATATAACTTTCACACGTTCACAAATCTGGTTCAGAAAATTGTTGAGATTTTTTTTATAATTTTTGAAGTTTTTGAAACGCCCTGTCGAAGGTTTGCTCTCTGTTTCTTGGCTCTGGTATTTATTCATCTTCTTCTTCTTCACTGACTGTGGTCGGTGGCCGTAGAGTAGTCTCCTTAATAATATGTTTCCTCTCTATCCAGTTGTGCTTTCTTATGTATAACAACTGCAAGAGTGCTTCTACGCAGAATATCTGTAAGTTGACAAAATTTTGTCAGTTTTTAGCGCACGAGCAATGGTTTGATTTGTTGAGTTGTTGCGGATCTAGCCCATAAATCCCCAAGCGGTCACCGGTGACCGCTTTCCACTAATATTACATTACATTATAGACCTTATTTTTAATGTTTAGAGACTACTTTTGTATGACCAAATTTAGGGGATGGATTTCAACGGGCTAGATGTGTTGTAAACTAGTACATGTAGCAGGTTTATTGAGATTTTAGCAGTTCCGTTTTTCGTCCTTATTTGTCTAATTACAAAAAAAAAACGAGCAGTTTTCACCTGTCGACGTGGTTTTTCAATAAAACCATCCAGTCTGAACGTGTATCCAAAGACACTGGTGGATATCTTGGACTCTGGCACCACAAGGTCGTTGTCCTCGGTGAAGAGTGGAAAGTCTACCAGCGTATAGCGACCGGCCTGTACAGGACAGTTTAGTCTAGAAGAAATAATTCTTCTGTTATTAACGTAAAATTATGCCATCAGTTGTCATATTGTAGTAGGTATAACAGGAGGCGGTTTCAGAAAATTCTTCATTATCTTTTATGTCAGTTATAAGTTATAACACATCCACTGCTGAACAACTTCCCCAATCACTCCACTTAGGTCGCAGCAACAGATTAACCACTAGTAGATGTATCTACCTACTAGGAGATAATCTTACGTGATTTTAATGTCATTAAGTTGATGGAATTCAACTGCGTGTGATGTTTACACAACAAGACAATGATAACGACTTCCGATAACTTGGGGGTCACAATAACAAAACATGTTTATTGAAATTGTCATCGCTTGACCAGGCGTTCAAAATTGTTGCCGACCGCTGAGCTTAGTCTTGATGACAAAGACCATTAACTTTTGAGCTACTCTTCTAATGGAACTCTTTGCTTGAGCTCGTCTTCTAATGACATCGGATAAAGAGGCTAATGTCATATTACTTGCCCTGTTAGTGAAAAGTGCTTCAAGGACAAAGTCTACATTCCCACTCAGAGTACAGAGTTATGGCCCGGTGGTGCCAAGATAAGTGGCACATTGCCCATTTGCGTTCAGATTTCAGACTCGAATATCAATAACAACATTATTTACACCTATCTACATCTGTTGCTATCACGCAGTATAAGACTTAATTGAAGGTGGAAGGTTTATCTGCAACTTAAAGGCCACGACATAATAATGATACTGATACGGATTATGCAATATCTATACTCACAAAACATTTATGTCTTTAGTCATCCAAGTAAACCGAAAAAACCTGTCCTCAATAAGTCAATACTAATGTAGATATTTATATTTGATAGATAAATAAAATTTGGTGTTAGCCTCTTGTCTGTTGAAAGTTGCGGCCATAATGTGTTTTATACCCGGAGCCGGTGTTTCATCAAGAGGTTAAAGGTCATTTTAAAATGAAGCAGTTGAAAATATCTAGTTCAATTGTCTCACTTTGGGTGTGCATAGTGGAACAGCATACGGTACATTCCTTGTTCATTCTCGTCGTCAGCGCAGCCGCTCTTCACCAAGTCGAAGGACCTCAGGAAGTCACACGACTCCATGTTTCGAATGTCCACGCATTTCTGCATTGTAGCCTACAAGCAAGGGTATAACTGATTGAGATAATAGAAATGATATTATGATGTTCGGTTGACTCAGATTTATTTGCATTTTTAACCGACTTCGCATAAAAGAGGAGGTTATCAATTTGTGTGTTCTTTTTATTGTACAATTTTGCGACTCGAAAAGTTGTCTGGTCCAAACATAAGAGGACAACAAAAAATAATAATATTTAAAGCGCACTTTGGGAACAATAGTAACTATGGGAAATTATCTTTTCTTCTCTTTTAATAAACCTTTGTTTTCTTTTAGTTAAATATTGTAAAATTAATAAATTCACCTTTATCTTCCACCCATTATCGATATCTTCGCTAATATTGAACTCCCCGCTTAGCAACGAGTCGTACCCTAGCGTGGAGATACTCAGCTCTGCCACTGTTACAGGGGTCTTCACAGAATCGTAGCATGGACCTGCTCGAGTCACCAGGATGTGGGTAGGGGCCATAGTACAAAATATGAATGGTATAAAGAATAAAATAACTATTCGATAGCACATTGCTTTCGAATAGTGAATACGTCGCTTCACCATTCTGATCAATGGAATATTATTATGATTATTGTACACCATTTAGTAGATCATTATTAAGTCATTATGTTTTACAACTATGTGAAATGTTTTAAACCTGTGTGTTATGATTTTGAACTCTGTTTATAGGTTTTTGGGTAAATATTGCAGTATGCGGTGTTTAGATGATTAATCCTAATGATATTTTAATGTGATCGTGATTCCGTTTTAGATATAGACAGGATCAAAATAATGTGCTAAAATACATTTTAAGCATTGATTTTTTATTTTTCTATATGTTTGTATCTAATGAGCTCACTGTGTAAATCTTACCTATAAATACGTGTGTAAATAATTAAGTACCTATGTGGTGAAATAGAATAAAAATAAAATCGTGTTTTAGATAAGTTACATTTTGTATGACGGGAAAATAATGTCTGTAAATATGTACCTACTTGTACACGACGCTTTCGTAGACAATAAAGTTTATTATATTGTCGATAAACAGTGAAGATAATTTTCCATGTAGGTAATTTACGGCTTATTTAAGGTAGGTAGATATTCAGGTAAACAGGGAGTGCCTAGAAGTTGAGAAGCAACATTTTAGGTCCGAGGCAGATAAAAGCAATCTTTTTAAAACTACCTTACTAACATAACATAACAGCACGCCTTTTATCCCAGTAATAGAGGGTGAGCATATTGCCATATACCGAGCACATTTCCAGGCTCAGTGCCACCACGGACAATTAAAAAAAAACTAGTAATAAATTGCTCGAACCAGGAATCGAATCAGAGACCCCTTGCCCAGCAATCGCACTTGCGATCACTCGGCGTACGAGGCAGTCTACCTACCTACTTTTTTTTTTAAGTGGGGAAAATCATCGAATGACTTCTCCCGCCTGGGTGAGCCGGAAGGGAGTGTCAGACTCTTACTGACTAAAAACCACCCCGTTCGTTCTCCTGCACGTCGAGCCGGAGCCCCGGTTACCCGTAGGTTCTCAAGGAATTTCAAATAACAGCCTGAGACAGTCCCCTACTAGATTATGGTCCTCCTCTTCATAGGTAATAGGGTCTTCATAGGGTTTGTTATAATCGCTTAGATAGTTTAGTAGCTGGGTTCAAGATCCTAGTTTAAAAGGTCGTATCAGAAAGCGCTGAGCAATGTATTTTAAAAATATGTATGGGGTTTCATCATTTGACATTAGACACATCTTTTATACAGCCACAGCCTTTAGAAGACAGAGCCGATTTTTCAATGCCCAGATAAATTTTAACTGAGGAATAACTATCAATATTTGACAATTCCTACATACTAAAAACTGTCAACTAACAATTTTATTCTACAGATAAGAATTAACTGATGTAAGTTCGACGGTACTGTATCCACCTGCGGTAACACATGACGCTGGCAGAATAGTCAACTACTAAATAAGTAGTGGAGACCCTATTACAGTAAAAAATAAATAAAAATTAACTGATGATTGAAAAATCGGCCCTAATATATTAGAAATACTATCAAGTTTCAGTAGAATATTTTACAACTAACTTTTACCCGCTGCTTTGCTCGCGTATTCCTGTTTTATTTTATCCCATGGGAGCGTTTAATCGGGATAAAAAGTATCGTATCACCTAAGTCAGCCCATACTCTGCCTGTATACCTCAATTTCATCAAAATCCGTTCAGTAGCTTCAGCGTGATTGACGTACAAACATCCAAACAAAAATCTTTTACATTTATAATATTAGTGTGATTTATATCTACAAACACGTTTACGTTACGTTTACACACAAACGGACACACCTCCCGCGCGCACACATATTTATAGGTCGCGGATTAGTTCATTCATTCTCTCATTCATCAACAAACAAGTTGGCACTCTGTTCACGGCAGTTGTACTTTAGACAGCGAACTAGTTGCACGTGTAAAATGGCCGAAGATAATTTAACCGCACTTCTTAAGAAGCCCAAGGATTTGCAGCTGGTAAGTTATCAAAACTTCTTATTCCATTATTAATACCTACCGTAATTAGATAATAAAAATGGTTATGTTAAAGGTATAACGGTGTTCGTTTAAGTAAATCGATTTAATTAGTAGCTTTGACGTTGTTTTAAACTGTTGTTTAGTGTGCATGTGTTACATACAAAAGTGAAATAAATAATAATTCTAGTGGTTTAATCCAGTAGATACCAGTTTTAAGGCCCGGATCGATATTTCTACCAAGAACTTGAATCTTCTGCAAAATAATAACTACTTATCTTAATAATATTATAACTGGATTTATTATTTAACTCGTCGAGTACCGTCATTATAGACACAATTATAGAACAATAGGTTGCGGTCACCGGTGACCGCTTGGTGTTTGACAGTTTAAGATAACTTAGCATTCGCTTAACCTTATCGATAAATATCTAGTTCTAGAATATTAATTGTGGTTCGATGCCTAAATTAATAATTAGAACAAAAGTAAATAATAGATTTATATTCTGTATAATATTACTTAATATATTCTGTTATCACAAAATAACTTTAGTCATTAAATTTTATTTATTGTTTACTGATACGTCACAACTGTCAAGTCAACTGATATTCTCATTCTAGGTAGGTAGCCAAGATCTAAGAGTGAACCAATTGAACAAAATATTTGGTACATCTTACAAGGAATTTATTTAAGGACAAAATGCTTAAATTTTGTATTAAGTAGGTAGGTACCATTTTCGTAAATGACTTATGTTAGTCCACTTAACTAAATGTTTTGTTATTAAAAGAAAAACTTATTTTCAGGTACAAACACCGATACCAGAAATAGCTGACGATGGTACGTGTATTTTAATTTTAAATTAAGCAAAGGTACACAAATACTAGTGTTGGTTCGTGAAAATATGTGAAGGTACATAATAGAGATAATGAGGAGGTGTTAAAATTAAAAATCTAATCCATTAATTAGTTAATGAAAAAAATATTAGATACGTATTATTTTATTTTGTCATACAAGAAACACAACACTTAGATAAAAGGAATCCTAAGTTTAGGAGTGGGATCGAAATCGTCATTTCTACTTGTAAAACGTACCTAGAAAGAAGTGACGTCACGCGGTATTTCAAATTAAGTAATACATATATCGTTAAAAGTATTTGTTTCTGTTACAAAATAAAAAATTACATGTCTAATGTTTTAAAACAATCGACCAGACAGGAGGACATTAAAATAAAAATAGTCTTGTAGGTACGTGATGTAGGTACATCAACCCTCATAATTACAATAGGTTTTAATTGAAAATGGTTACTCTTATTCATTTATCGTAAGAGGAACTTTTAAGATTGGCGATAACATCAAATACCTACTTAAAAGGTAATCAAACGTCTTGAAAGGTAATCAAACTAATCAATAGTCATCATGAATACGCAAGAGCTTGTTTGTTTGTGTCACTTTAACGTCTAAACTGCTGAACCAATATTCAGGAATTTTGCTACAGTATTAGAGAGACGGACACTGTTTACAAATGTCAATAGATATATTTGTCGTGCATGAATACTTCAAAGTCAAAATCATTTATTTTCATCATATAAATCATTTATATATTAGACCAGACTTTTGAACGTCAACAAAAAGTTTATAAGTGAAGTTATTTGCTCATTCCAAGGTTTAGATTCTTAAGGGGAAAAACGAGCAAGAAATTCCATACTTAGGTAGGTACCTTTAGTGTCCTTATCCCAAGCTACTGCTGAGTCGGTACAATATGTTCATTGTACATTGATTATTTATTTCCAGTCTTCCTTTTCAGGAGTCATTAAATATTACAATCTTTTTTCTTTGGTAATTTTCCGATCAATCTTAGGTAACTGTGCTCTTACTCTAGAAGCCTTAATACGAGTTTATTTTTCGTTTACAGTAATCGATACGAGACGGCGTTCTGTGCCCTGATTGGTTGGTTCATAAAAGCCGGCCAATCACAGCGCCGAACACGTACTCGTTACGATTACTTTAAACGAAAAAGAAACTCGTACTAAGGCCTAAGCACTCGCCTTTTCACATAAATAGATATAAACATGTTATTTGGTTTCAGTGATCATAAGATGAGCGTCAGTAATGAATGATAGTCACCCTTTATTAATTAATATTTACATAGAAATGAAATGACGTAGGTACAGCCCTAGGTGTGTTTACTTTTGTAGGTGCAACGTGTCGATATTAACACAGTTGTTGACGCAACACTATCTCTCGGTAAATACTTGAGCACTTATAATTTACATGTTTTTAATCGATAAACCACTTCAATAGCCTGTTTTTTTTACCAAACACTTGACATATTAATTTCCGCATGTCGGTATTGTACCAGCGTGTTATGTAAGATTATTTTTTTATTTTCCTGAAACTAAAACGCGTAACAGTATGCCTTTATCAACAGATTAACATTTATGTAAAGGACATTCCATAATTAACACATATTTGAAACATATTTGAAATCGAAAGCAAGTTTGTAATTTAAAAAGCGGTTTTATTGAATTTCTATTTCTCTTAAACTCATTCGCGTTAAATGAAGTAAAGACGTTGAGCGTGCATTTCAATTGAATCTATGTAAGATCCACTACGAAGGTTATTAACCACGCCACTATTATAACTTAGATACATTACTGTTATTGTATTAGGTCTGATAATGTTTTTTTAACCACCGCTTCTCTTCTCGCGGGTGTTAAGACTCCGTTCCAAAGAATGCTCACTGACTGTATCAACTGGTCTATTTGCATTTTAGTCTCTTTATGCACTCCATGTTGCATAATCTCAGCCAATAATTGATTAACGAAGCATATCTAAAGGTCGTGCGAAAAGCCTTTGTAACAGCATCACTAATAAGGAAAATTTGAATAAGATTGATCTTGAAACAAAATGAAATCAATGAGATGGAATAGAAGAATTTTGAAGACAACAGTATTATTTTTATAATAATGTAATGTTATTTCCGCGCATGAGATCACAGGGTCTTTTAGAAGGCATGCTAGAAGCCGTAGTAAAACTTTATTTTACTTAAACGAAATGGGACCAAACGATTGTCTGTAATAGTCCTTCCTTCTACATACTTAAAACGTTATTGTTAGATACATGTTTTGATCAAAAGTGTGTGTGTAACTGACGTGTTTCAATTCTATTTCTTTCAGAGGTACTACTTCGTATGGACTGTGTGGGTATCTGCGGATCTGACGTGCACTACTGGCAGAGTGGTGCCTGTGGACACTTCGTGCTCAAAGAACCCATGATTATGGGACATGAAGCTTCTGGAGTCGTCGCCAAGGTCAGCCATATCCGAATCCTAAATACTAAGTACTAGAAAAATACCACTCACCGAAGCGTTTTTCGTAATCCTCATGCAATAACTAGGCTTAAGAACCTAAGGGTCTAAGGGTTAAGGAAGGTAATTAGGTCATCAAATATTTAGAACATGCTGATGTCCATAATTTGGGTTAAGATAGGTTTAAGATATTGGAACCTGCTACCAAAATCCATCATCGTTCTATAATCTTATCCAATGTTACTCCAATGTTTTGTGTCCATCTTTTAGTTAACTTAAATACTTTTGCCCCTAAGAATATTTCTGGATTTCTCAACTTTTGTATCAAAGTTCGGACATCAACAAATGCCTCAATAACAGACGTCCTTTAACTATTATCATTGCGGGTTGCAGGTCAAACGATTGTACCTATATTTAGTCTAAATGTCTCGGTCGGAATGCGCATTGACGTAGACGCGTCGCACTCCGATCAATTTGTGAAGTGCATTCACACTCGCAAAGCAAAAATAGGACATATGCACGCCATAATTGTCCACGATATCATAGTGAATATTAGAATTTTTGTACACAGTACTCCTACGCAATGTTTCTTCTTATCGCCATATCCAACATAATTTTAATCTGCAAACATTGGGTGCCACAATCACAAAACTGGCCCCAGACAAGCCAAGGTCGACCGCACGTTACCATCCTGTTGCTGTTTGGTATTTAAAGTAGTTAGATAGGTTACCGACTATATGAGGCGTAGTTGGTACCTAAATGTTCGTCGGAGGTGTTGTCGCCGACGTAATTATACAGACACACCCACAAACACACACGTGTGTGCTATGCTATTTATAATTATTTTGCCGATGTGACGGCGAATGGCGACAATGACCATGAACCTCTTTCGTACGGTAATTTTGCTTTCAAAGTAACAGAATGGTCAGCAAGACGTTTTATCAATTATGGAGACTTCTTGATTAAAGTAATAGGTATTATTAATGGGTTGATAGGTATGTTCTGATAAAATGTTGATATCTAAAAAGTTTGGTCACTTCCATTCTGACGTCTAAGCTACAGTACCTACGTATTGTCCGATATCTTATTTTGATTACCAATAATAATTATAATTATGCAATAATGTAATCGGTTGGTAGATGATAAATAGTTTGGGTTCATTCTCATAGCGACGTCAAAACTTTAATATGGACAACAATGCAAACAATACAGTGTTCAAATATTGATCTTTGGTTAACACCGAACCATTTTTAACCGATTTTTAGCATGTGTTGACTTGGGACCTACCTATATTTTACAATTGAATCCGACAGGTTAACCTGCATAGGTACCAAATTTTTTTCTGACTAAGTATAATGTATCTGTAGATAATATGCCTCTCCTACTTACTACTTCTTTATTATTTAGATATAACGAAGCGAAATATTAAGTAAATGCACGGTTGTATAATATCATTATAAGCTTATATTACCGCGGCTTAGTATGATAATTATCTTTATGGCGTACTTAACTCTTTAATGACTTTTGTAAAAGGAAATAAATAGCGCATGATGTGAATAAACATTATCCCATAGATAAGGTTGATAGTATGAAGCTAGTAGGCATGTAGATAGTGTTATGTAACGCTTTTAACGTTGTTTTCAATCCTCGGGTTCATCGATTGAAAACAACTTTAAGTCGGATTAATTATAACTATAATGCTCGATTGCTGACGCTATAAGCCTTTATACATAAACAACATAACTGGCCGAAAACCAGTCAGATATAAATATGTAACACCATTTCCAAATCCTTTAGAAGCTTTGGGAATGATTGCTAAATGTGTTTCATTCTTTGAAAGAAAGCAACCTGTTAAACTATAACCCTCTAGAAAGAAAGAAAGAAAGAAAGAAAAATAATTTATTCGCCATGGACATATACATGGACCACCGAAAATTTAAAATACATATACATTAAAACACAAAAATAAATATAGAAAACAAAAATAAAAAACATAAAATAACAAAAAAACAACAATGAAGGCAAAAAAAAAAACATTATAAAAACAAAATAAAAGAAACAGGGTGGCAGCATGTCCACGACGAAAGGGCTCGCCAACTCAGTCTAAGCTGGGCACAGTAAGTACCCAACACTGATTTTCAGTTGGCACCCCTGCAGTGACGCACGGACGGAAGCAACGAAAAATTATTTAATGCAAAGAGTATAATAAGTATAGGGGTTATTTAAAGGAAAATAATATAAATACAAAAGACACATGTTAAAACCATAAACGAAAAGTAAGAAAATAAGTATAGATACATAAACAAGTGCTACGTGTACCGTCACCGTAGAAAAATAAATAAATAATAATAATAAAAATAAAATTATAAACCACATATATATCACGACAATTATAATAGTGTGGGTAGGTTGTGGTCGTGAAGCTATCGCGTAGCCCGACACTTATTGCGAGAAGCCAAAGCGAGCAGGTCGACACCTCGCCAGCACTGACGCAACAACAAGGGGCTCGAGGGTGAGTTTGTGAGATCCTACGTTACATTAATAGTGAAAGTAATAAGTTAATTATAATTATAAAAATAAATAAATATGATAATGTGACTAACATAATTTGTGTACCGAGTTATACGAATAAAATAATAAGAAGGATAAATGTCAGATTAAATAAACGAAATGTCAATATTTACAGATTCACTCTCAATTTGAGAGTTAATAATAAACTCCTTGAGTTTTCGTTTAAAAGTGAAAGTGCTTTGCAGGTTCCTGATTGGCGGAGGTATGTTGTTCCAGCACTTAGAAGCTGCATATCGGAAACTACCCCGAAAAGCAGCCGATTTGTGTTGCGGTATAGCCAGCTGTTGTGCACACCGCCTACCCTCCCGCTGCCGATGAGCATTCACCCACGAGAGCTTCGAGTAGAGGTATACTGGACACTTATACTTAATCACACCAAAGAGGAGACATGCCAGGTGGAGCTTACGTCGGGACTTCATTTTTAGAAGATTATACTTGTTTAAGTAAGGTGTTATGTGACTCCTAGGTGGAATTTTAAAACAAAAACGCGCGCAGGCATTCTGAACCCTCTGTATCAATCGCTCAGTGCGTGAAAACAGTCTAGGTCCAATAACCGCGTCAGCGTAGTTTAGCTTGGATAAAACCAACGACTCAACCAGCCGCACACGCAACTCCTCACTTAGATACGGACGCATTCTGTATAGTATCTTCAGGCGGTAAAAACAGTTTCTGACGCAGTTTGAGATGTGAGATTCAAACCTAAGACCTTGATCCATTATCAGACCCAAATTTCGCGCTTCATCGACACGCTCAATGATTTGACCCCTCAAGAGAACGTTAATATTACTAGGAGTCTTGTAAAGTTGCGTCTTTGTTCCGAAAAGCATGAATTTTGTTTTGGATGGATTTAAGATGAGGCAGTTATTGCTTGACCAGTTCACTATCCTGTCGAGGTCCTCATTAATTGAATTCACAGCACTCGCGTATTCTTCCGGTCTAAAGGACAAGTAAATCTGTATATCGTCAGCGTAGATATGATATTTACATGTTTTTATTATATTGATGATGTCAGCACAATATAATAGGAATAGGGTAGGCCCTAAAATGGATCCTTGGGGAACTCCCTTCGTCACAGGTTTCACCTCAGAAGCCAAGAAAGATCCATTAGCATCGCGAAATTCAACCAGCTGCGCACGGTTGCTGAGGTAACTATCGAACCATTTAATTGTTGGTATGTCAAATCCGTAGTACGCCATTTTAGAGAGTAATAGAGATAAATTGATAGCATCAAATGCCCTCGAGAAATCCAGCAGGACCAATATAGTGCACAAACCCTCATCCTGCGCAGCCAGTATATTGTCAGTGACGTCCAACAAAGCCGTGGCCGTACTACGCCCCCTCCTAAAACCAGATTGCGCATCCGGCAGAACACTGCTGTCCTCTATAAATTTGGAGACCTGTTCGTTTACCACCCTTTCCAAGACCTTAGACATTAAGGGTAGAATGCTAATAGGCCTTAAATCTTTAAGATCGCCAGGATTGTTTACTTTGGGTAGAGGACGTACCTTAGCTAATTTCCAGGCGCCCGGAAAAGTTGCCGTTACTATGGAGGCATTTATAATACGCGTCAGGACATTCAAAGTCTGTGGTATTGTTAACAAAAACATATTCAGTGCTATCTGGTCACAACCTTCAGCATTTGATTTTAGGCTAGTTATTATTCTTAGAATTTTCATGTCATCAGTTGTATTAAGGGAGAGGATGCAATCAGAGAACCTATGAAATTCATAGTAGGTGTAAGTCGACAGGGAAGTAATTGTATCGCCGGGAACATTCAAAAAATGATCATTTATTTTGTTTGGGTCATTGAAATGTGCGGGTAGTTCATTATCAGACAGAGGCAGCAAGGTGGATTTTAAATTCTTCCAAAGCCTCTTCGGATGTTTGATGTTGTTATTAATATTTGATTTGAAGTAGGCTACTTTTTCAAGGTAGATTGATTTAGTTACTAGACTCTTTAAATCCATGTAGTATTGTTTTTTGTGAGTTAATGTGTTATTAATTCGGAATTCCCTATAGGCTTTGTCTCGAAGTTTCATCATAAGTTTAATGTTTTCTGTAATCCACGGATAGGATCTATCCCTCATCCTAACACTCCTGCGAGGTGCAAATGTGTCAAACAGATACAGTAAATTGTTTGTCAGACAGTACACCATATAGTCCACGTCATGAGAAGAAATTACCCCACGCCAGTCGATCGCGTCCAGAGCCTCTTTGAGATTTTCTAAGTTAATGTTTTTGATATCCCTATAAGTTATAATTCGAGGCCGGATTTTTTCCCTTTTTATACGAAGAGTAGTTGTAATAAATGCATGAGCACCGAGAGCTTGTATTGGGTACACATTGACATCAGTAACTCTTGCGTCTGTACACACCAAATCTATAAGGCTCGAGTTGTTGGTTGTGAAGTGTGTAGGCGATGTAACTAACTGATTGAGGTTCAGGCAATTTAAAAAAATATGCAATTTGTTTAATTTACTGTCAGGTGGTGAGGTGTTCATAAAATTTATATTAAAATCACCCAACAACACAGTGTAGTCGCAGAATGTTAACGAATTTACAGACATGGTCAGTGCGTCCAGAAACGTGTCCACATCCAACCACGGCGGCCGATAGGCGGTCCCTATAGCAAGCTTAATACCGTTTATGGTAAACACGAGCCACATCTGTTCGACCGACGCATGTGTAGGGTCAGTAGGGTAGGAATGCGCCCGTACGTTCATTCCGCATCTTATATAGAATCCGACACCACCGCCGCGGCCGCCGCGCACGCTCAGCGGACGCGGTACATGCCGCAGCCGGTAGCCGGGAACCGACGGCGCGCGCGCCTCCTCCCCCGCCCTGAGCCATGTCTCATTTACCGCCATGATGTCAACATCATGGTGATCCACTGCGGCTATAAACTCGTCATGATTTGTACCTAAAGACCCGGCGTTAAGAAATCCAATTTTAAACTCTTTCGGGGTCATTTTATATCATGGATTAAATATAAACAAAAATCGTTATATACTTTCCCTGCGAGAGTATCTAAATTTATGTTAAAAAAAATTGTTATTATAATATAGCCATTACTTAAAGATTTACAAATAATATATGAGTAAAGAAAGATAGAAACATTGTATAATAAGAACACAGGCACATATGCATATACATAAAAATATCCAATAATAAGTATGGTTGCATAAGCCTGGATACAATAAAATTTACCGTCACTGCAAGGAATACCAACCTTAGCCCATACATACATTGCCGAGGATGCCAATTTACAACATGACGTAGCAGAAAAACTAATATAAAATAAACGTAACGTAGCACATATCGTGAGGTCGTCAACAAGATAAAGGGTATACAGCAAAAAAATGAAAACAAAGTGAAATACACAAACCGAACAGAAATATCTATTAACACCCACACTCATCAAACATAACCGTCCCCAAAAGTTTTTCTGATATCTGCGTGCGAGCGAATGCGCACAGCAGAGACGCCGTCCTCCTTCCGCACGTAGATGCGTCCCTCCCTTGTCCATACGTACTTGTACTTTGAACGCTGCCCAGCCTCTCGAGCTAGATGGAATAACTTTGCATTAGAGCGAGTCAAGTGCTCATTTACAAACACCCTCCGAGGCTGGCCGTGTAGATCGAGGTCCGCAGTGGTGAGGCCGCGGCGCACGCGCGCCGCTTGAATTAGTTTGTCTCGCACCGTACGGCGAGAAAGGCGCACCGCGATGGCGCGCGGCCGCGGATGCTCCGTTATGTCGTGCTGGGATGAACCGGCGATAAAATTACGACGCACCATGCCGAGTCGCTCGACGTTTACTATATCCCTATCGTCAAGGTCGACCCCCAGCTTCAGCGACAGTGTTTTAAGTATGTGCGCCGGATTCTCGGTCTTCGACTCCGGTATACCCGACACGATGACGTCGTTCAACAAAAGGTCCTGATCGCGCTCGTTTAGTTGAAGTTTTAAGTCAGCGATCGTCTCCTCCAGATGGTCATACGATGAGGTGTCCTTCGCCTCGAACCGCTGCTCGAGGCTGTCCACCCTGTGCACTACCGCGTCCAGCCGCTCATTGCAACCGTTTATGGCAGCTCTAAATTGTGCATTTTCCTGCCGTAGCTCGCGTATATCGACCCTTAGAGCGCTTAACTCCTCCCTAAAAGCTCTGATCTCATGCGCCAAATCCAGACTCACGGGGGGGGCGACGGTGGGGGGACTATTTGGGACCGAGCAATCCGCCGCTGCACCTTTGACCGGTGTCGCAGAATTGTCGGTCTTGGGAAGTTTCGCCTTGCATCCAGGACACAGCCATGCAGGCGAGGGGGTTGCTGAAGGCGGTACTCCCACACAGGCGCGGTGGTAGCAGACCGCGCACTTGCCACACCGAATGCTTGCTGTCGCAGCAATAAATTGACCACATCCACCGCATTTGGCCATGATATTTTGTGTTGCAGTATTTGGAATAACACACACGCGAGACTCGCACAGAAGTTAAGGATTTTTTTTTTTTTTTATGCAGCAGGGTAGGTTTAGTCACCGTAACACTGGGGCTGGTACAAAACTAATCCTAAGATCGTTTAATTCGATTCACTGCTAGTGTCCACAATATATGTAATCAGTTATCCACTAATAAACTTTTCGCGAATAAAATATATCAAATAAAACAGTAGTTTTATTTTATTTGACCCGAGGCGACACACACAAGTCAGCTGTTACCGGCGTCCGTGACGTCCACCGGCGTCCGTGACGTCCTCTACTAATTCTCGACTGTTCCCCGCAGCTGGGTGCTAACGTGAAGAACCTGAAGGTGGGTGACCGTGTGGCCATCGAGCCTGGTGTACCCTGTCGCTACTGTGAGTTCTGCAAAACCGGCCGCTACCACCTCTGTCCAGATATGGTATTCTGCGCCACCCCTCCCGTCCACGGCAACCTCGCTAGATACTACAAGCATGCTGCTGACTTTTGCTACAAGTTTGTACTTTTATAACCTTTTTAGTTTTATTGCAGCTACTCTGCTAGCGGGTTAGCTTAGGAGATTAACCAGGATAAAAGTATTATAATCAGAGGTACTGAATTATACAAGGTGTCCTTGAAGTCGACGATCAAATGGCACCAGGTGATCGGAAATGTTCTAACAGTTATCAATCCTTACGAATATTATAAATTGGAAAGTGAGTTTGTTGAGTGACTACTACACCGATTGCTTTGAATTTTTGCAGACGTAAAGTTAGAAGTCTGTAGTAAATAATAGGTACTTTTTATCCCGGAAAAATTTGATACTCCTGAGGGAAAATAAAAGTATTGGTATAGATGGCGCTGTGTGTATTGGTATATGTCACATAGGCTACGTTTTATCCTTTTGTGACGCGAGCGAAGCCGCGGGTAAAAGCTAGTAAAATATAAAAAAGCTAAGTCATATAGTTTTTAAATTACAAAGACTTATGTGTTATCTTATTAGTGTGCTTAAGCGCACCTAAAAGCATCGTATCCACTAGGTAACACTTTGAACGCGACATGACATCATCATGTTGCTAAAAATGTTGGAAATCAGCGAAGATCTCTTGTTACAAACCACATCGTCTGTCTACTCATGATTTCGCTGCCGCGGAGAACCTAACGGGTTACCGGGGCTCCGGCTAGAAGTGCAGGAATAGGAACGGGGTGGTTTTTAATCAGTAAGAGTCTGACATTCCCTCACGCCTCACCCAGGCGTGAGAAGCCATTCGATGATTTTTCCCCCCTTAACTCATGATTTCGCTAGCAGCATTCGTCAGCGATATTGTCGTTGTCAGCAATTTGTGCATCAGTACTCTCTTTAAAGAATATTTAATTTTCATATCCATTCGCATGGAAACAAGTAATATGCGGTGCATCATATTCCGTCCGTTAAAAATTTCGGTAGTAGTAACCTACCAGTCATGATCACGTCGCCTGGCCGGGGGATCCTCCCAACTCAATTTAAAGATAACATACGTCATTGTAATTTAAAAACTATATGACTTGGGTTTTTGATATACCTAACTGTTGGAACCTTGCGAATGACCTGGTGTCATTTGATCGTCGACTTCAGGGACATCTGTATATATAAGTTTATGCGTTATAAATAAGTAATATTTATTTTAAATATTAAATCCATAATTATGCTGTAAAACCTAATTGCCAATAAAATTATTAGAAACTTAATGAAGGTTTTAACTGAAAACATCCTTAAGACGCATAATAGAAGGAAAATTTGCCGACTTATTAGGTATAAGCAAAGGAATTTTACTCAAGCGTGAATTCAGAATACCGATACGTGTATTTATTACCTGATGCATCAACTATTTCTAAGGGGAAAAACATATTCCTCAAAGTCAATATTAGAAACTTGTATGAAATCTCTTGAAAAACATAAAACTTCGTACCTACCTACTTATAAAAGAAACAATAAAATTATTGTCAATAATTAAGTATGTAATCTTCTTCTCTCTAGACTGCCAGACCACGTGACAATGGAAGAGGGAGCGCTTCTAGAACCACTGTCAGTAGGCATCCACGCGTGCAGACGTGCAGGCCTGACCGGAGGTCATAATGTACTGGTGCTGGGCGCCGGACCTATTGGGCTCGTCACCATGCTCTCTGCTAAGGCCATGGGAGCCAGCAAAGTTCTCATTACAGGTAAGTCAGAATTGTTCTTAAGTTTAATCAATTCAGTTCCTTGTAGCTATAAGATTAAAGAATTTTGTATTGTGGAGAATGGGAACCCTGTGGCTATAGGAATACAGTCTCATTTGCTTTGATCAGACCTTTATTTTTCTTTTTAATCCAGGCTTCATTGATCTGGAGAATAGTTCCTTGTACCAGCATAGAGAGAGCTATATTTCAAATTTTGAGTCATTCTCTTCAGTAACTCTGAACTTACTGCTATTGAACTTCATTATTAACTCATTTTCAGATGTACTGCAGTCTCGACTGGACTTCGCTAAGAAGTTAGGAGCTGACGCCACGATCCTGTCGACCAAGGACACCAGTGAAGCTGACATGGTGAAGAAGATACACGAACTGCTGGGAGACCAGCCTGACGTCTCCTTCGATGCCAGTGGAGCACAGGCTACTGTCAGAATGGCTATGTTGGTAAGATATGTTAGGGAAAATAATATTTTGTACCAACTTTAGTCATATTAAGGTCGATTTTTCAAGTTAAAATTAATTTTTAAGTGATGTTGCTTATTTTAAAGATGCCAGCATATCAATATGTCTAATACTTATTGGGATAGTAACTACCTTCATACATATTTGATTTTAACCTCCTTTTTTTTGTAATATAGTTAAAAAATGTCGGTATTAAATGTTTTTACAAAAAACAATACATAGTTTATTCAGAACATTTTATTTGTTACAGGCAACGAAGTCAGGTGGCGTGGCAGTGCTGGTAGGTATGGGTGCGCCGGAGCAGACCGTGCCGCTGGCCGGCGCGCTCGCTCGGGAGGTCGACATACGAGGCATCTTCCGATATGTTAACGAGTACGTATAGCCATTCTAAATAATCAATTCAATATAAATATCTTATAACTTCATGCCTTAAATTCCCCGATAGGAGTAGATATACTAACTGAGAAGATCTCATGATTCTATGTTGGCTATTCTTATACTCTGAACGGTACAATAGTTTCAATAACAGAGACATTAATACCAGTTTCTTTCCATTTGATACCGCGTTCGGCGTTGTTAGTGGTTCATTGGAATCGGCCAATCAGAGCGCCAAACGCGGCCTCGCTCTGAACAGCATCTCTATGCCCAATAAGTAAGAATCTCTTCGAAAGTACCTGCACCATAATTTGTATCTAAAATATTACAACTCTTCGGAGAGTATTTAACGCTTTGAGGCCTTCTTACCCTATATGTGTAGTCTTTCAAAAGTAACTCCGTGTTATTGTTTCTGCTTTAAATCCAACACATGAGATGAGGTGCGGCTTGTAAACGAACTCAATGAGAAAATCCTAGTATGTTAAACTAGTCTAGTTAAACAAAATATAAAATGTCATCGTCATCTCATAACTTCTTTGCCTGCAGGTACCCGATAGCCCTGAACATGGTAGCCAGCGGAAAGATCAACGTGAAACCACTAGTAACTCACCACTTCAGCTTGGAAGAAACTCTTCAGGCATACGAGGTGGCGCGCCAGGGTGCCGGGATCAAGGTCATGATTCATGTCCAACCCAGGGACACCAACAACCCACTGCATTTCCAACCTTAACTCCTATACAGTACAGAAGAAAATTGTTTATCAAGTCTACCTCAAACTGTCATTCTACTATAGACTTTATCACTAAACCGTTCAGTTGAAAATCCGTTAAAGTAATTTGACAGTTTGAGGGTTTCACATCCTGCCTGGTAAAAAGGTTATGTTCGCGTATGCTAAAATTGTCTCATGCCGAATCACAATGAATTGTTATAACAAAATATCCGAATTCACGCAATAATATATTGTATTGTAAAGACATAAAATTTAATTTTAAGTACAAACTTTGTTGTTTAGTGTAAGTTGTTAATTGTTAAAATTAAAATCATGATTTAATTAAATTTCATTTGAGAAAGTATTTTTGTATTTATTAATAAAAATAAATATTTTCCATACTTTGTGTTTTATGTTGAAGCCTGAGTGAGAGTGGTTAAACATCCTGGAATAGATGGTTACGTTAGATCTAAGATTGAAATCTCAGAAGGAACAGAAACGAGAGTTAACCATAAGTTGTGGCGCGCTTGTGTTGATTGCGTCATCATCGCCAAAAACTTGAAAGCCAAGGATACACTAGGGGACAAATGTCCTGCGACACTTGTCGCCAGCGACGTTGGGTGGAGTAGCGCGACGTTGTCGGACTTTGGTCGAAATGTCTGGCCACAGCAAAGCTGGCAAAGCCCCGCATTTTCGCACTAGGCTGCGTTTCCACTGACGCGAAGCGGAGCGGAGAGGAGCTTAGCGTCAAGAATTGACCAATCACTATGATTGAAATCTCTGCTCTGCTTCAATGGAAACAGCATGAGCGGGGTGGAGCAGAGCTGAGCGGATATTCATAATAAAAATACAGTGTGGCAATGCGGTGCGGAGGACTGCACCCCAATACTCGTTAGCATTGGGGTGCAGAGCGCAGGACAGCGGGGTCAAAAGTCAATGCATCTGATTCGTTATCTTCATCTTCAAGTAAAAAGAAAGATATAAATAACTGTTTTTTTTTCTTTTTAAATAACAACATTGGCGTATGGTCTTTTTGGAAGATAGATGGTAACTAAGCGCAAAAATGCGCAATTCCAAAGTATGTTCCACTGTGTTGTTTTTCAGTCCACTCCGCTTCAGTGGAATCACTGACCAATTTTCACCGCTCTTCATCGCTCCTCTCCGCCCAGCTCCGATTCAGTGGAAACGTAGCCTTCTATTATGTCGGGCGAAATCATGGCCAAATCGACAGGCTTCGCTTGACATCTTGCCGATACATGTCGTGGGACATTTGTCCCCTAGTGTATCCTTGGCTTAAAGTACTTTAGGAACAAGACAATATTATTTTTTAATTAACATAATATGACGTCCATTCGTTATCTGGCCATCAATGGGCCATCGCAAAGGTCAAATGTCAGGAAAACAAAATATACGCGATTGATTCAGTTCAAAGCAGTTCCGTACATTATGATCGCAAAAGCAAATTAATTATTCATCGGCGTTCTTGTAAATTTCTAGTTCACAAGTGTATGAAAGAAGATCAGATGGGCACCAGAATCAGGCTGGTTGCAAACCTACCTGCACAACATGCAACAAGACAGGAACTAATAAAACGAATATTTTCTTTCATGTTCGACTAACAGATCTGTTGCATATAAAAATTCTAAATATCTCGAAAATTATATGTCCTGGTTAAAAAAATTATGTAATTTTCGAACCTCTTCCCCGTAGACGTAGATATACACCCCCTATTAAAATATATTTGTTGATTGATGAACAATATTGGTGTGATTTTGGCTGAAGTGGGCCCACTTATGAAAGAAACATTAGGTACTGTCTAACCGGCACTTAGGCTACAAGCCAATGTAAATAAAACGTTGAATTTCGACATATTTTGGTATTGTATTATTATACAAAGGTTGAAATTATTAAACAGCTGAAGCGTTATTTTGTTTGAAGGCGCCTTTTCCCGACTCTACTGGTTCGGATAAAATAATTACTTTTTGTTGAATGAGTATTCCATTTATCGAGGAAGGCTAAATGTTATAAACCATCACGCTACGAATTTACACCCTGCTACTGACACCCCTTTTTTTTTAAGGGGGGTAAATCATCGAATGACTGCTCCCGCCTGGGTGAGGCGGGAGGGAGTGTCAGACTCTTACTGACTAAAAACCACCCCATTCCTTCTCCTGCACGTCGAGCCGGAGCCCCGGTTACCCGTTAGGTTCTCCGCGACTCCGAATCGGCATCGGCCCTATTGGGCCCCATCTGTGGTGGTCTGATGGCTCTTTGAGGCGCGCGCGGAACGCGACGCGCCGTACGCTCGGGTCTGTTTCTGGTCGGACGGGGAGCCACCCATGCTCGCCGTCCGCAGGCCCGCGCTTACGGTGGCCGGAGATCGTCCCGCGATCCCCGACGCCCGGTGTGTCCTTCGCGATGGCTGGGTTGCGAGGAGGCAGCGCTTCGCTGCCTCACGCGTCCCGCCTCCTCCTTAGCTAGCATGACTGCTTCGCAAAAGGAGGAGACGGCATCCCAATCCCCCTCGCTCCGCATCATGGCCTGCACTAGGCCCGGACGCGAGAGGTCGCCATCGCCGATCACTTCCCTGAGGACACGGCGGTGCTCAGTCCACGCAGGGCATTCCGCTACAGTATGTTCCACCGTGTCCTCAGGGCGGTCCTCGCAGTGATGACACCCGGGCGTTTCCTCCCGCCCCATACTGACACCCCTAATGATATATTAACGATTATTGAATCTATGCATTGGATTGTCGAAGTAGTTATTTACCAACGCATCCATCTCAGCATTATATTGAGCTCACATGACACATTAAGTCATAACTCGTGGTACATAACAAACAAACTAGAATGATAAGAATATTGACATAAATTGTGAAATTGTACAAATTATTTAATTTCCTGTCTCGTGATTCAAATAACTATTAGACAGACCATTTGTGTGAGAAACAAAACAGTTTACATAAGTATTAGAAGAAAGCCTATAATGAGTCGCTAGGCGGAAAACAATAACCCCTATCTACTTAGTTCCTAGTTCCTATCCTATAAGACATGAGATGAAAGTCTATATTGATTTTTTATGGGATAAGCCGGTAAACGTGCTGATGGTTCACCTGATGGTAAGCAATCGGCGTCGCCCATGGACACCTGAAACATCAGAGGCGTTACAAGTACGTTACCGGCCTTTTGGTTTGGGAATTTGAGGACTGTGCTTCTGGTAACCTCACTCACACGACGAAACACAACGCAAGCGTTGTTTCACGTCAGTTTTCTGTGAGGCCGTGGTATCACACCGGTCGAGCCTATTCGTGCCGGAGCCCCGTCTCCCACACTTAATTAAGTCAATATTGCAAATTGTAATCTCGTTACCAATCTAGAGAACAAGACCTCTACCAGAGAATATAGGATTTAATCACTGACTGAAAGTTCGATTTCGAGGTCGGTTTCTGATTATTGGACGGACAGTGTTTTGATAAAAAATATATTTTGACTTTGTTTTGACTACAAACATTTGTCATATGTAGAAGTCTCCTCTCTTTAGCAAAGAGTATAATAAGAGTGAATTGGTTGCGCGGTTACTATGATCGCGTCGGTTGTCTGTGGAGTATATGCAGATCAAAACTGCGATGTGATGCGAATTCGCAACGCAGAAAATTACGATGCAAATTGCTGCGATCATGCTGCGATGCGATTTCTTGCGACAAGGCATCTCCCAGGGTGACCATTCTCCATCGACGACCTCAACCGTACTAAACGTATTTTAAACTCAAAACTAGGTCGTGACATGGATCGTAATAATAAGTGTGCACTTCTGTTATTGCCTAGGACAAACAGGAAAAGAAACTAAGAAGATTTTGAGAAGATAAGATCTTGAGGCGCGATGCGAATCACTTCGCAAGTTCTTGCGATGCGCAGAGAGCTCGCACATTTTTGCGATGCGACATCGCATCGCAGTTTTGTGTACGAGCCCTAAAGACAATCGAGAGCATTCAGTGATTGTGTAAAAATATGTATAGGCATTCAGAAACAAAGAATTGGAATAATGAACTAGACCTTTCCGTCTCGTGTTATCACGATTACATATCTTTTTGTATGTTTACATTGAGAGACGTAATTCAGGAGGGAACGAAATTAATTCATTACATAATAAACTATTAGACCGAGAGTGCGTCTCTTCCCGCGGCACTCTCATAATCTGCAGATACTTGGAACAATGGCTGACAATGTTGCTGCAGTCCTACATGGGGCCTATGATATTAGAATTGTGAGTTTCATTTATTTAAACGTTTTTGAATTTTTTTGTAGGCTAAACTTGAAGAATACTAAACTTTTTAAATTATAAAGCACACATTTTAGGGTTTTTGATCGACTTAAAAGAATAGGAGGTCCTATGTTTGAATGATTGTTTTTTTTTTCGAGATCCTATTAGAATGTCTTATACAGCAACACGACTCTTTGGTTCGGTTTCATTTGAATTTTCTACATGATTAACCATGGGACAATTTTTGTAGTCTCGTTTCTGGAATCATTTAAATTAATTTAATTTAATCTTTAAAATGATCTACACTGCACAAATCTTAACATACCTAGTTTGGGCCAACTTTGCCCTCCCTTGGCAATTTGGCGACCCCTAGAAAAAAACAAATTGGTAAACGGTGTGCAAATCTTTCGATCAATGACAATTTCCACACGCAGAAAATATGCCCCAAAAGTATTGATATTTGGTTGCGTTGTCTGTCTCTATGTACGATTTCCACCAACAGATGATTTGTGAATTTATAGGATTCCAGACTATCTGTGGAAAGTTTTTTTTAAGGGGGAAAATCATCGAATGAATTCTCCCGCCTGGGTGAGTGGGAAGGGAGTGTCAGACTCTTACTGACTAAAAACCACCCCGTTCCTTCTCCTGCACTTCGAGCCGGAGCCCCAGTAACCCGTTAGGTTCTCCGCAACATCTGTGGAAAGTTTACGTGTACCTATACTATGGTTTAAAACAAGCAGGTGAAGTCGCGATCGGAAAGCCAGTCGTAAATAAATAGTGAATTTATTTAATTATCAACGTTTTATGAAGCAAATGTTTATTATCACTTCACTGAAGATATGCTAACCTCTAAGATAATAAATATGAACTGTATACTAAACTGTTTTTATAATTATACCTACACGCCACGCGTCATGCTAACAAACTGATATTAAATTATTTTATTACTTCATTGTTTTATTTTGTTTAGTTTGTAGAAAACAATTAGGTATTTAGTTTAACTCGTCGAGTACCGGTTTTGTAGACACAATTATAGAACAATAGGTTACGGTCACCGGTGACCGCTTAGTGTTTGACAGTTTAAATAAATGTTGATGGATAA